TTTAAGAGTGCTATGTTCTGCCTTTGATTCCTCCTCTCACCTCATTTTAAGACCCCTTTTCTTAAACTTTTGACTAAATAGTTCCTTGAAGAGACTTTCAATTCTGTCACAACACTAATATCTTCTTGATGGCCCTGACCAACTTGTGCCTCTTTTTTCTCATCTAAGACCAGTGTGTAAAATAAGAGACCTACATTGTATTTCAAACAATGAATAAATGAGATAGTTTCTATAATATAAAATATTACAGTTACTATAAGGGGAAATGATTGTTTCAAAAGAAATAATGTCAACTTGTTTTTTTAATTGCAAAAGGAATTCATTATTTGGCTAGATATATCATTTTGCATTATTTTCCAGATTAGACAACATAATCCTTCAGATGAAAGTACATTATATTTACAGAACATTTGATTTCAGTTGTAATTTTGGATGTAAATATTAAGACCATTCAGTCTAACTGGACTGACCCTAGAAACAAATCCTTGCTTTCATGAAATTCTAATTATATCTATACAATTTATTTGCTTTTACAGTTTCCCTGCAATATTCTGTCTCTAGGCTTATGTGTCTTTCATATGGCCAAAGAACTTCTCCCAATTTCCCCCATTAACCCAAAAAGAAATTTCAACTGAGATTGCTGGATTTCAGAATATCTGTATCAACTCCAGAATTTCCAAATACCAGCTGAGATTAAGACAAATACTAGATGCCCCAAAGGAGCGTCCCATTAAACTTATGTACAGTTCTCTAATAAACCACGCATTTGGATAGCTGGTACTTTAGTTTAAACATAGAAAATCATGTAAAAAAATAGGTTTGTTTCATACAATTGATATAGTTTCGACTTCATATGTTTTATATCTTTTTTAGATGATTAATGATATTATATAAACACATTTATATCAACTGAAACTTAGTTAACATGTAGAACCTTTTCATCATGATACAGCCATCAGTTAGACAAAAACAAAACTTACTCAAACGGTTACCTCTTTCCTGCCTCACCGTTATTAAATAAACCTGGAGTTTGACTTGCGTCATATTGGTTTGTGGGAACTGGCTTCACAGAATAAATGTTTACAAGATCAGTCCTCGAAAGGACATTGTCAACATCTTTAAGCCGTGGGTTTTATAATTTTATTCATCTCCTGTTTACAGTGTAATTTTATTTTTTTAACTTCCAAAAATGTTATCCCAACTGCTGGGCTTAATAAAAATCGCTTTTAGGTCTTTCATCTGAAATATTCTTAGTTGAATTCAATTTTACACTAAAAAGTTGAGTAAAGAGTGTAATAATAAAATTATCTATATGCAATTAATTCTTTTTCTTAAATGGTGAAGTTTTGCTTCTTTCTTTCATTTATATTACTGTAATTAAATGTTACTATAACTAAACCAGGCTGTTAAAATGTAGTTTTTTTGTTCAAAGTTTTGGCAAAGAAAGCAAACTTATTTGTAAGTTGCTTCTCTTAAATTTGAGAAACACTGATGACTACACTAATACACTAACAAGGAACAAAATGGGATGGTATAAGTCAGTATGTTACATGACCTATTAATAAAATATCACTATTGATTTTAAATAGTTATCTCTGGTAGATATTTTAGACTACTTTTTTCATTCCACTCTCCTAATTGGAGAGCTTGTGTATAAATGATATTTTTAAGACTTTAATGCCACCTAAGTAACATTTACATTGTATTTATGAATCACAAGTAATCTATAGCTAATCTAAAGTATATGGGAAGATGTATGTAGGTAATATGCAAATATTATGCCATTTTATACAAGAGACTTATGTATCCTCAGATTTGGGTATCCATGGGGGTCTGAGAACAATTCCCCGTTAAATATTGAGGGATGATTATAGTTGTTCCACCACCAGCTCTGTATTGATTTAATGTCATTCATACAGTCACACATCTTCAGCATTCCACTGATTTTTGGACACACTCAATTCCTGTTACTGGTAATCTATGAGAAGAAACAACTAGGTTGATTACTATTTCTAGGCTAGACTTGATTATGGTAATTGTATTTGAGGACTCTGTTAGATTTAGTTTTCTCTTACAATATAGCTTTTACTACTTTTAATTAGACTTCAAATAAATCCGTAGAGTCAGACAAGACTTAGTGACTAGACAACAATGAATGACAAATCATTCTTGCTTTGTTTTATTCATGGAATAACAGCATTATTTTAACTTCAAAAGGAGAAAACAGTGATTCACTTTTTTTCATTTAAGAAATTCACTTCCGGATCCTTTACTTGTATTGATTTTAAATCCTACTTCACCAATTTATTAATTTATTTTTAAATAAAATATTTTCTCTAGATTCATTGTTTGAATGACTCTTTCTTGGATAAGAAAATACAAAGATCTCAATGCCATTTTTTCTACTAATTTATCTATAAATAATTTATCAATGGCTTTCTCTGGCTTGAATTTAGAATCTATAGTAATTCTTTCTTATTTCATTTATGTACTCAGAAGTTTTATTTACAACAAAAATGTATTAAGCAGTTATGAGTTATGTAATATTTCTTGAGTACCTGGATAGAAAATAACATGTCCAAGGCTGTGGGAAGCAGGTATATTACTTAGACATCATGATGTGTCTGAGAGAAAAATGGTGTATTTTCATTTAGGAAATACAGTGAGTAGGGAACAAGATTCAACTTAAGATTGCTTTGATTTAAAAATTGAATACATTTAATTTTATGCTTAGCACTCAGTTTCACCTATTACCTTTGTTTTTGTCATCCAGTCGCTAAATTGTGTCTGACTCTTTGCAATCCTATGAACTGCAGCACGTCAGGCTTCCTTGTCCTCGACTATCTCCTGGAGTTTGCTCAAAGTCATGTCCTTTGAATGGGTGGTGCCATCAAACCATCTCATCCTCTGTCGCCCCCTTAACCTCTTGCCCTCAATCTCTCCCAGCATCAGGGTCCTTTCCAGTGAGTTGGCTTATTGCATCAGGTGGCCAAAGGATTTTAACTTCGGCTTTGGTGTCAGTCCTTCCAGTGAATATTCAGGGTTCATTTCATTTAGGATTGACTGGTTTGATCTCCTTACAGTCAAAGGGACTCTCAAGAGTCTGCTCCAGGACAATTTGAAAGCATCAGATCTTTGGCACTCAGCCTTCTTTATGGTCCAACTCTCACATCTATACATGACTACTGGAAAAATCATAGCTTTGACTATACAGACCTTTGAGGCAAAGTGATGTCTCTGTTTTCTAATACACTGTCTGGGTTTGTCATAGTTGTTTCCCCCCCCCCCCGCCCCCCAAAAGAGCAAGCAGTTGCTTGCAGTCCATAATGCAGTTTATTACCATTGCCTTTGGATAAATTGTAATATCTGTCTCTATGTTTCCTAAATTATAAAATGGAGTTACCATTGACTGCCTGACATGGGTAATTGCTCACTCTGTCTCCAGAGGTTTCCCTGGTAGCTCAAATAGGGTAAAGAATCTGCCTGCAATGCAAGAGACCTGGGTTCAATTCCTGAAGAGTTGGACACAACTGAGCAACTAACATTTTCTATTTCACTTTCATATATATACACCCTAACCCATTTGCTCTAAAGATGTTCTTTGATATTTGTGATTAAAGTTCTTTCCTTGAAAGTTATTGGTATCTACATCAGAGAATTTTAGTCTTTTGCAATATTTTTAATATACCTTTAGAACCATGCTTAGTAAAAATACAAAAAAATCTGCAATATATATTTTATATAGTAATTGCATCATAAAACTTGGAAAGATTATACACTTACAGATATATAATATATAATCACTGACAAACTATACATAGAAGTGTGTGTACTTTCAGAAATATCTGAAATGTACAGGATTCAGCTAGATAATAAAGATGATTTTGGAGTCAAAGGTGGTTCTTAGAACAGACTACCTTAACTCCTAGGAAAGGGAAATGGGGGAGCCATGAGGATAAATCTTTATCTGATTCTATTGACTTGACTTTTGAAATCATGTTTGGACATAAAATAACCCAGAAATGTCTAGCTCTCATGAGGGATATGTGACAGAATAAGCTGTGGAATTAGAAGTTACAGGCTCTATCGCTTCTCAGCCTTTTGGCTAAGATCAAGTGTAGAAGTTATAGGCTCTGAGTCCACTCTTGATTCTAATCCAATAGGATCTAGAGTAGATGTGGGCACTTTACTTTTCAGAGATACACAGATCTGATATTCATCCCTGTTTGAAAACCGCTAAGCTACATTACTAATTATGGCAAATATCTATAAGATTTCAAAACTATTCTAAATTTAAACATTGAGGTTCTGGACAGATACAGCCAAATGAATTCAATATGATATTAGAATCTGATTATTTAAAAGTTATTTAAAAATATAAAAATTGATTCATATCACCTTCAGAGGAGTCAACAGAATGAGCTAAATGCCAAAACTATTTTCACGACTGACCTCGAGGTTGGGTACATATGTGCACTACTGCTTATGTCTAATTCCAGAAAAGAGAATTTAGGAATGGAGAGAAAATTACTGAAGAACATTCCCTATTCCCCATCCCATCTCCCTGCCCAGAGCAGTAACTACAAAGCAAAGACTTGAGATGAATATATTCTTATACCCTGAATTTCATTATGAAGGAAACAAGTTACACTTAATTTTCTGTGATAGTTTACATGAAGCAAGTTAAAAGGAAATACTGAGGCAATTTTATTCAAACTTCCTTCTCTATCACAATATCCACTAACATGTAGTATCTACCAAATCATATCTGACAGACAGTTCCATGGAGAGTAAATTAACTTTTTTACCTCTTTTTCTAAGACTTTCTGAAGATGCTTAAATTTCTTCTGGGGCATTAGCTGTAACCATGTCATTTCTTGGGACACATAGCAGAAATTGATTGTGACTTAACCATGCCCATATCCTCATCCTTATTAACAAAACATAGATCTTTGATCTGGAGAGTAGTGAGCTCATCTAAGTATTGCTGTTATTCCTCTCTTTTGCTGTTAGATGTCAGCATACAACAAATTTCTCATGAAGTGGGGCAAAACTGGAAATCTGTGAAGTATTTCTGAAAAAAAAACAAACCACCTTTCATTCTCTGGTGAATAAAATAAGAGTCAGTTGGTACTACTACACTCCTTCCTACAATGAGCTGGACATAGAGTCTGAGGTGCAATAACCTTACTGTGCAAGAACCAGCTGTCCCTTTTCTCAAGGGACATGTCCTTTTTATCCTGAATGTGGCTACATTTATCCCTCTGTTTTCAGCCAGGCTAATAGATGTTTATTGAACTGAATCAAAGGCTTTGGAATTTAGAGTGTGACTATGCCTAATCTGGATTAATATTTACCTAAACTTCAGAATTTTTATTTCCCACAGATACACTTTTTCCCCAGAATACTTTGGCAAATGGGACTGGGACAGGGACAGCAAGGATCAGGGCTAAACATCTCTTTTTTTGAGGGGGTGGGGGGGTAGGACAAGAACTAACTAATCTCCTCACACATTATTTCTCCCTTTCATGTTCTTACTCTTTCATACACCTAGGTGTGTATATATATGGCATGGATAGAAAGAGAGAGAAAGAAAAAGAAAAAAAAAAAGAAAAGCTGCTTAAAAATATGCACAGTTTTATCAGGATCCTAATAAAAATTACAACCAAAATAATATGTAACATTTAATGATTATAACGCAGTCATTATCATTAAAACTAAGTTGATATCTTGCCCATGATTTTGACTTTTACTTTCTGTCTTTTTGTGAGGCTCTGCTTTCCATATGTGCACAATCTCTGTACTTATTCAAGCATGTCACAGATACAGCAGTGCTACTACTAATTATAGCTTTATAATCTCACATTCCTTTTCTCATCTAGTGTTCTCTCCAATCTCTTCAACACCCAGGTAGCTGAAAATAATAAATCTCGTAAGTTCAAAAACAAGAAGCAAAATTTTATCAAATTATAAACAAGAAATATAATTAGACTTTATAGAAAAGCTCAGAAGAAAATTGGTAATTAAAAAATACAACAGTAAATTTTAAGGCAATTAAGAAGCATTAATAACTGAATAAGCTACATTGATATTCCCCAGTGTGCCAAATGATCTGCATGGAAGTTTTTGGCAGATATGAATTTTGACTGAGCAGAGAAGTGAATGAACACTTTCTCATTTTCAGAAACAATGCCAATAGCTTGGATTGAAGATGAGTACAGTTTGTGTTGTAGGGTGCTTTATGATTCAAGAGTTGTTGAGGATTCCAGATGCTGGTGTTTCATGGGAGAACACAGGAGCAAAAGAGAAGAGAGAAATCTAAGGAGGGATCTGACATCTGCAAACCAATTCCCTCTTCTTCTTTAATGGAAATTATGCTTAGACGTGTGTGCTCTGATGAGTCAAACCAAAGTCATTTATTACACACAGCTTATTGTAGAGGCCGATAATCTATTGACACTGGCTGGGAACCATTCCAGCAAGACTTTTTATTCGAGTAAATAGCAATAGGAAAACTCTGCCTGATTAAATCATTCTTGTTTCTGACATCAAGATGGCTTCCAAAAATCAGAACTTAAAGCAATACCATCTTGAAATACTTAATTTTATTCCCTGATCATCCTATAAATCAGAATTAGATTTCTCTTTCTAAGGGAAAAAAAAACTATTTTTTTTTACAAATTCTTTTTTGCTTCAACTATAGAATAAAAATGAAGATAATACTTAGACATCTTCATGTTGTTTTTGTTAATACAACAAAGAAAGAAAAATGAAAAGCTTTAGGATGGTAAAGGAAGGCAGATCATAACTTTTTTACCCATCATGTTGGTATTAATGATTTAAGAGAAGAGTCAACTTCATATTTTGTTTCCCTTCTTAGAAAGCATATGCACCCAAATAAGAATAAACTGGATTCTCTATTCCAGGACCGTGTGTGTAACTAAATGTTGGCTTTAAAGTGTTTACTGTATATCAGTTTCTGTGCAAGGTATTGCACATGTATCACATAGTTTAATTGTACAACACCAGTGAGGTATTACTATATTCAACTCACAGATGAAGGAACTCAAGTCAGGCAGAACATGTCAGCAGTACACTCTAGGGAAGTCACTAAGGCCCCGTTTGTCTTTTCTCAAAAGCTCCAAAGTGTCCTAGTTCCCATACTCCAATTATCTGAGGTCTGTGAAAAAAGTCCAGTCCCAGCTGTCTGAAATTACCCTGTCCGAGCCGGAAGACACCCAGAGTCCTCTCCCGTCTACGACACAAACACAGTTAAAACATGATCACTGTGCAGCCGGCAAGCAAAGGGTGTGTGCGTGTATGTGCTCAATCGCGTCCAGCTCTTTCTGACCTCATGGAGGGTAGCCGACAATGATCCTCTGTCCATGGGATTTTCCAGGCAAGAATGCTGGAGCAGATCGCCATTTCCTTCTCCAGGGGATCTTTCCAACCCATGGATTGAACCAGCACCTCCTGCATTGGCATGTGGGTTCTTTACTGCTGAACCACTAGGGAACCACTGGGGAATAGACTTTGTGAAAACAACTAAAAGCATAGGTGAAAAAAACCCTTTGGAATTCTGTACCAGTGGATCATTTTCCCTAAGTCAGGGTTTCAAAATTTAACAGCTAGGAAGAAAGATTTCCACTTGTATTAATTAGTGTCCTATTGTTGCCATAACAAACTACTACAAACCAAGCAGCTTAAAACAATAAAAATATTGTATCTTACAGTTCTGAAGGCTAGCAGTCCAAAATAGGTATCACAAGGTGTCACTGGGGCCAAGCTCTTTCCCGGAGTCTGCCAACATTCCTTGGATTGGCACTTGCCAGCAGGCTCTCAAACATCCTGACTCTGACTCTGACACCGACTCTTCAGGTCTTCCCCTCCCCCCCTCACACCTAAGTACCCTGGTGATTACATTGGGCCCACTTAATAATCAGAACTACTCTCCTTAATTGAAGATCAGATAATTTGCAATCTTACTTTCACATGAAAGTTTTAATTCTCCTTTGCCATATAATATAATAAGCTTCAGGGATTGGGGTATAGACACCACCTAGGGATAAGTATGGGCTTTCCTTGTGGCTAGGTGGTAAAGAATTTGCCTACAATGCAGAAGACCAGCGTTCGATTCTTGGGTTGGTAAGATTCATTTGAGGAGGGCATGGCAACCCACTCCAGTACTCTTTCCTGGAGAATTTCATGGATAGAGGAGCATGGTGGGCTACAGTCCACAGAGTTGCACAGAGTCAGAGGCAACTAACCAGCAGGGATCAGTATTCTGCCTACCACAACCACTCTAAAATCAATGGAAAATCAAAAGTTGTAGGAGATATAAAAGGTCAAATGTGGACAAAACCTCAAATCATTTATCTTCAAATTCTAAGCACTGGAAGTCAGTAAACGTCCCTGGCAGGAACATAAGGAAAAACACAAAAATCCTTATAACACTTCTTGGGAATTTTAGAAGCATCATGGAAGGATAATTTCAATTCTGGTATCTAAAAATTGTGTGACTTAAAGCATGTCTGTGAACTTGTATTTCTACACCTCGGATTCTTCATCTTCAAAATCACAGGATCTGAATAAACAACCCTCACGTCATATCTAGAAGGTAGAGTATGATCTCTGAAAGACAGGGTTTTGATGAAGATATGAAACTCTGAGAAATGTGTGTAATAGGGACCTGTAATAGCACTGCACCTAACAAAGGCAATTAACATTTTATTACTTTAAAAAATGTGTAATCTGATGCTGAGGTAATACTTCAGTTATGAGCAAGGAGTCTTATTTTTACTAAAATTTGCAGATGATGAAGGAAAGACAAAATTATTTTGGTCAAAGTAAATACCTAGGAGGACTATTATATGAAATAATTTTTACTTTGTTATTCATTGTCATAGAAAATAAAAATTAATCAAAATACCATAAACAGAAACATAAATATATCTTTATATGGCTAAAAACAATTGCATTGAAACATGATTAATGGGCTAGTGAAAGCAGTTGTCTTAAACAAAAGTCTGTAACTGACATAGATAGTAAAGGAATCTATTTATGATATTTCATATAATATTAAATTAGGATTAATGATTTTATATTATATCCCATATTTTAAAATGAAAGTGAAAACTCAAATTCCAATTACTTAAAAGACTAAATCATCAAAATGGATAAAGCAGAAAAGTACTTTCTAATATCAAATATGGGAAATTTTTTTAAAAACACACTAGTCAAAACTATTCTTTAAATACATGTGCCCCTTTAATTCATATTAAATATAATTGTACATATATTACTTAAACATAATTTTGTGGGTGATGATTTTATAATAGGCCATAACTTGAAATTTGAAGAGACATCTTCTGGCTAGCAAAAAAAAAAAAAAATCAACCTCAGGTAAAAGCAGATGGGGGTAAGGCAGAAATATAAAACCAGTGAGGGAAAGACATTCCAAGATACGTAAACCTCTGTAATCCCTTTGGCCCTTACTATCCTTATTCATAACAAATATAATATTTCCTATCTATCAAATCTATGATTCTATAAGAAGTGAACTGGTAGGGCCCAGGAGATTCAATTAACAAATGAAAAATGAAAACTTCTCAGTATTAAAAGGAGCAAGAGTATTCTAAATAAAGGCTGAAGAAATATGCCTCTCAGGAAGTGACTGAGATGAATAGGGGTAGGGGAGGCAGTGGGGAAGAAGTTGAAAGTAGTTTTAGGTAAAAAGATGTTCTGTGCTTGGGATTTGGGGCCAAGTTAAACTAGCAAAAAATGTAAGTAAGTAATTAGAGTGTGCTTTAGCCTGGAATCATTTGGGATTATAGGGAACATAGGAAAATATTGTTTTCTAGAGAGCCACCAAGAAAACTGAGGATTAAATAGAGCTGAAATTGAGGTAGAAAAAGCCAGAAAAGGAAATTAGGAGATAGGCAAATTGTTGTTGGTGGCTAAAATTTAGTGTGAGAGCTAATACATAGTAGAATACATTGCCCATCTTATTTTTCACATCTACACCATTTGGAGGAGGGCATGGCGATCCCCTCCAGTATGCATGCCTGAAGAATC